GAAAACTGAGAAATCAAAGATATGTTTTTGGGTATATACTATATAGTGCAATGAAAAATATCCAGTAGTGTTCTACTTTTTGTTAAAAATTTAATTGATGTACAATTGATTTTATTAATTTTGTTTTCACTGTTGAATTGAGTTTCTATGGAAATAAAATAAACGTTACGAAAATCGGCTAGGTACTCAAAAATCGATTGGAAAAAAATTGTGATCAGCACAGAAACATATATACATAGAAACATATGCTGTAAATTGTATTGATTCGTGCAAATGAGTATTTTTGTTAAGTCATTTAACTTGTATTTATTATATATATTAGTGTATAATAAATGCCAAAACGCAATAAATCGTAAAATTAGTATATGGCGTGCGAAAATGATAATTATAGGTTAGGTTAACTACTATGTACTTTCAGTTTTTTTGCATCCGATAACTGCAATGTAAGAAAAACCCACGAATAATCCATTGTAATTTGTATTGCATTTTTAAGCTTAAGAGTTTAGAATTTTAAGTTTAAACTTTGACAAAAACGAATAACAACACGATTTTTCCTCTATTGATTTTCGTTATTTTACTTTAGTTATAACTTTTAAAATCAGTATCTTTAATGTAGGTACCTATATTATTTAATATTTTTTATACACGACTAAATTATTATTTTCAAAATATTTAGATTAATTTTAAGCTATTCATAATAACCACGAACCTATTCACACCACACCGGCTGTAGTTGCTTACAACTGCTGTTTACCGCCATTTTCAAATGTGTAACAAATTCCTCTCATTAAAATCACAGTGTTTGTCTACGGTATAACATAACACAACATGTGCGAGTGCATATTATTGTTAAGGCTTTGCACGCAGCGCCCGAATAATATGGCGTCGGTATAAGCGGATTGTCGGCGTTGTTCAGCCAAATTCGGGTGTTTAAACGCTGCACGCCGAGTCGTGAAATATAATAATAATATAAACGAATGCGAATTAATTTGGACGTCCCCACGAGCTGCTGTAATATAATAATTCGAGCACTCGTGTGGGTTAATTTGAGTCGAGGGCGGCGGTACGTGGAGGTATATCACTATAATATGCACTGCTGGAAAAAAATGATGAAACATAATATCAGATATTAATTTTTTATAATGCCACGGTGGGGGCGTCGAACAATGGCAAACCATGGGCCAATGTGATGTCCTCATGTTTACGTATATTTTTTTATATTATATGTAACATACAGTCTATACACATTAATTCATTATAATTTATATTATTATATTATTTTAAACTGATACACTACAGCAGAATAATGCGCAGCTGGCAAATACTGTGAAAAAATAATTTATACATAAATATTATATTATACGCGAGACACGCGTTCGACATTCATAAACATATTGTATACCTAGAAATAATAATTCGTATCGACGGGCAGAGCTGCTGGTATATATAATATTATAAAAAACATACACGTCGACACTGATCGTCGTTAAAAAAATAAATAAAATCGTGAACACGCGTAGCTGGGTACAGTAAAAATTGCGTTGTCCAGTTTGTTTAATGTTATGTGGCGATAGATACATATTATAATACCAAAATCGGACCGCTTCAACTAATACTGTATAAGAAATAAAAATGATCGTCACATACTTTCGTTCTTTAGTTCTTAATATTATATACGACCTATAACTTATAAGGGAGATCCGTGCACTAATATGCATATGAGTTGTTCAAAAAGTTGGGACTGATAAACGATTAAAATATGAATATTAATTAAAATTAATATTAATGAAGTGGATATATTTTTTCTAGTAAAAATGTAGCAGTGTTATCTGTTATTGCGCGCTATGTAGGTATTAAAAATATAATATACAAACAGTAATTAAAGAGTTTCTAAACTTTTTGAACACATGTATACTGTATAGTATGCACCGTGTATAGCAGGTTACACACTGCAGATTTTACAAGTAGATTTTGTTATGTTTTTGCGTATTTTCAACTTTTAAGTATGTTTTATTTAATTGTGATTCATTTTTACAAAAGAATACAATTTTTTTTTACCATGATTTTATTAGTTAAAACAATTTTACTATAATTGTGCTTATCTATATTTTTGTTTCATAATCAGAAAACAGAATACTTTTAATAAATGTTTATGCACATTATGCATTTTTTTTATTAATAATTTGTTATGTGGTAGTTATAATCTGCACTAAGCCGCTCATCTAAAATAACATTTTGTGTTAACTAAATAATTTTAATCCATTTTCATTTTTAGATATATATATATTATTATTGATAATGTGAAATTAAACATATATAAGTCATACAAATAATTAAAAATTAAAAAACCTTAAGTTCACCTCTACAGATACATACATAGACATATATCTTTTCTTTTCATAACAATGCTTGGTGTTAGAAATAGATACTTTTAGCCATAAATGTCATACACTGTGAGTTTTTTTTAATAAATCTATTTACACGGATCTCTCTGTAAAATTTGTTCTGCATCAGAGTTCATTATTTAATTTCCGTCGATGTCCTACTGAGAATAAATCCTGTTAAACATCATATTATCACATCCCAGACACCAATATGATATATTATACAAAATTATACCATACGGGTACAACGATTTGTGTAATGTGTAGGTAGTATTTTTTTGTTTGATTAATAATTCCCAGCACCATCGCAGCGACAACAACTGATGTTTTATTCGGGTCAATTCGGGCGTCACGTCAGTTATAACTGTACGTCAATAAATGTTTTTTTTACTTTATGCAAAAAAAATTTAAATGTTTTTACAAAGACCCCTGTCTGACATTATTACTAATATTATTATTGCAACATAAGCGAGTTCTATACTATTATTATACTACTGCGGTTGGGCCGGAATGTTTATTATCGTACACCAAAATTGGTATAATATTATCAATATATGTGATTATTGTAAGCTAAACGTTTGGTTAGAGTCAATCATAATATTGGTTTATTATGACGTTTCGAGTCCTTTATGTTATTCGCGTACTCAACCCGGTAGTAATATAATAATAATAATAATAATAATAAGAATACATAGGAACCGAATGTGATGTTGGAAAACAATGACATCGATAAACAATCAAATATCGTATAATACATATATATAACATTATAATGTTGTTTTCGGACGGGCGTGGACATGACGTGTATAATAACAAAAAATACTAAAGTAAATTTTATGCAATGTATTTTTTATAAAAGAAAACTCAAAAATATTATGATTTTAATATTATGTATTTCCCGTACTTTTAAATTCTTTATTTTTTGTTTATATTATGACATAGTTCTATCGCTTGGGAATATCATAAATAGACAACGCCGCAGTGTCCCACCGAGATACCTACCTATGCATGACTGCCGCTCCGAGAAATAATGAATTTGCGGCCCTTCAAATGGAGTCCTCTGGCCATGATAGCGCCCGTTTACTACGCGTGTAAATTGTTCGGCATTTTACCTGTCAGTTACGCCAACTGTGGAAAAATTCCGTACAGAAACACGATACACTTCATAGGGAGGAGACACGAGAATGGTGAGATTATAAAAACTACTGAATCATTCGTTCTTATTTAATATACAGCTATACAGTGTAACGGATAATTGGACGTAGCTTTCTTACTGATTTCTGTTAGGTTGATATTATGCTTGTGCTTTATTGTCTACGTCACAAACCCGATTGGTATTGCAGAACTTTGAAAGTGTTATTAATATACGAGCCTAATTATCTATTCGTTATGAAATCCTAATTAAAAATCACTTAACTCATATGTATTACATAATAATATAAACATATATGATTATTATTTTGGACAACCATGAATGTCAACTAGTGAAATTTTGATAACACGGCGACATCAATAGGCAATTTAGCTACAAGTTTCTGTTCTGTTCGGTGTGGTACGCTCACAGCGATACGATATTTTTAATCTAATAACAAATTATTATAGTCTGTTAGTAGTCACTGTTTATTCATTTGATAACCCAGACCACCAAAAACCTATAATGGACAAAATTCTTAGAACCTAATCAAATACATTTAATCAATTAAGCTGCCGTTTAATCCAAATTTCGTATACACATTTTAGAATGGATAATATTTATTTAATAACTATGTGTCTACAATATACAATACAATATTATCAACATATGTTGGGAATGTGTTATGTGTAATATTATTTTATACATTACATTCGTCTTATTTTTATTATTATTTAATATTATTTTGTCACAATAAAAAATGTAATTTTTCAAGGGCACCCTCAGAGAGTTGCCAAAGGGACCATATATGTCCCAGTTATTTTTTTAGTGTATGAAATTTGTGTGTAATTGATTATATTGTATTGCATAATATGATGTGTTAGGGAATAACGTAACTAAGTTAAAGGTTACTGCAATAAAACTACATTTAAAGTAATTTGTAAGTAGGTCATTAAGTTACTTTTTTTGTAGTAAAATTACTAAAATAATCGTTATTTTATTTCTTTTAATAGATCTAAAAAACAATTAATAATAATATATACGTAAATTATCATATAAGTATGCATTTTTGACAGTACCTAGCTTAAAATTAAATTTAAAAAATAAAGAATGAAATCTATTAAGCAATTATTGTTTTTAAATACAAATTTTATATAGTTCCATATTTTTAGTCCTGCTTTACAGCTTATATCAAACACCATTGAAATGTTTGAATAAATAAACATGAAAAGTAACTTTAATTCTAGTTTATTGTAAGTTAGGTACTTTTTAACTCAGAATTAATGTAACTCGAGTACCTGTATAAAATAGTAGATATTGAGAATACCTTATTTACAATTTTTAAAGTTATAATTCGTAATGTAATTACGATTAATTATCAACAAAAAAGTAGCTTTCACTACACTGACATACCATCACCGGCGTTACACGATGCACATAATTTATAACAATAATAATAATAATAATGTACCTATTATCGCAGTTCGAGACGGAAATTTTCACGTGAGCAACAGCGGCCTGGCACTGTGGGCCGCCCAGCTGGCGCTGCAGACTTGGGCATTCGTCCGGATGTGCTTCTACCTGGGCCACACGCTCATGCAACGGAAGTCGCTCAACTGCTCCCGGGACAACTACTGCAGCGTGTTCGGAATGTTGCTGTCTCACACGGTCATCAGCCCGATCGTCGTGTCTCTGGTGCTGGTCCGGTTGCCCCGGTCCGTCGATGTGCTGAACATGACCGCCCGGCTGCTGCTCCGGTCCAGGTACCCACATCGCCGGCTGTCGCCCAACGCGTACGTGGTCGTCCTGTTCTCTGCCGTCATCGTCTTCAAGCTGGTCACTACCGTCATGAGCATACCGCTACAGTACCCCGACCTCTATTACCCGTACTTCACCGCTTACATGGTGCCAATCGTGTTCATTAACCTGGTCAGCATCCTGTGCGTGGTCGCCCAACAGTCGTACGAGGACATCAACAGGTCAGGTCGGGTCGTTTGCCCCTCGGGGTACCGGCAGGTAGATTGGCCGACCTTGGATTAGGGTTTGCGGTATTTAAATCGGCTACCAATCGGTATTCTGGTATTACAATATCGGTAATGGTATGGAACGGTATACCGTAATACCAGTACATACCAGAAAAACATGTAGAAGCACATACTAGAAAATCATAATATTAGGAGGCTGGTACCGAATTGATTTCCGAGCCCCAACCTCACATGCCGAATTGGTTCCCGTTTGAAAAAGGTTTTTTATTAAAGCAAACCTAATTGGTTCTTGTTAAGAAAAGGTATTTTATTAAGTTGAGCCGAATTGGTTCCCGTTTAATTACGCACATTTTTCTTCTCAATTTTACAGGCTTAGGATTATCGACTTTAAAGTAGGCTTGGATAAAAATGTGGGGTTATGTGTTAAAAAATAAAAACAATGTATAATATTTAAAATCGTTGATTTAGCAGTCACCCAGTCATCACTTAGGTATACAAAATTAAAAAAATCGAAATCATTGATTTTGCAAATTTGAAGCAAATACTTTTTTCAAATCGTGTATGTTGCTCATTAACGTATCCAGTCATACAGTTTTCCAAATATTGGTTATTTCTTTTCTGTTTGCTGGTAAGTTTCCTTGTTTTATTTCTTCGAAATTGAATAGAACGCCAATAGAACAATTTATTGCCATTTTATTGTTTATACCTTTGAGTATAGGTACATTTATATTTTATACTATCTAATTTATAGTTGGTACAAATTATACACATATTATTTAGTAATGCAAAACAATGCTTAAAAATTAAATTTCAACTATTTTACTCGAACACAAACGTTAACCAATTCGGCTCAACTTCATAAAATACCCTTTTCAGACAAGAACCAATTCGGCCAAATGGAACCGATTCCGTTACTCCAGACTGAAATACTGAAAAGTCCTGATAGGGTTGATTGTATTGAAATCGGATACTCTATTAGAACCAGTATATCGAAAAAACCGTCAACAACGTTAACCTTCATATAGTATAGAGTTTTACTTCGGTATTAAAAGGTACGTCGGTACTATTAGGGTACACCATTCAAGTGATATTTAAGCTACAACCCGATCGTATACCTATATAAAACGATAAAGAATCGATATTAGTACGAAAATCTGTTGAAAATAATGCAATAAAAACAAATATTTTAAAGTAGGTAGAAGTTTTTTAAATTTTTAAATTATATTTTTGGTCTTCATAAAAAAAATATTTTTTACTTTGGTTGATTAAGTTGATTTCTATAATAATAAATGTATGACAAATAATTACGATTTCAATATTATAAAATAAAATACATTTAAACATATCCGAGCCGGCTATATTATTATATTATACGTATTACAATTTTATGCATTTAATATTATTGCAGAAGTACAAATTATTTTAGTCTGTTTTTAAAATGAAGATAAATGTGTAAGATAATTACAAGAGAGCCAAGTGCTCCTTAAAAATGTTGGCCTAGACTAGAGTTACATTGTGTATTAATCTCCGATATACTATATGATTTATGGAAAATAATAAACCATCTAAAAATAAATTTATTCTTATATTAATATAAACGAAAATCCATAATATATAAAAATTTAAAATTAAGCTAATCGAGAAAATTGAAAAAAGAAATATTACATATATTATTTTCTAACGGCAAAGGTCTGGCAAATACATTAAATGTAAATAAATAAGTTAATGACAAAAAGACAACAAATTAGGGCGCAAAGTTAACAAAATATTAAATCAACTCAACTCGTTAATGTCCAACCATAGGCTGATTACTACGATGATTAGTGACGGTTCATATTTGGGATGTACCGTGGAGTTAGTTTGTCGTTGAATGATGTCAGCTAGCCGTTTACTTTCTCGAGCTTCGTTTTATTCGATGAATGGAGTCGTGCAACTGTCACCGACTTAATAATATTATATAGTCTAGCCCGCGGTGATGTGCACGTTAGGTTAGGTGGAGTCACGCATGGGCTATAAATGAAAACGTGGATGACGGTATAATAAAAAAAATTGAAAAACAATAGATACTCTACTATAAACCAATTATTAGTTTTGCGCCGAGCGATTTGAAGAATTTATTCTGGACCAGTCGTCGACATCACTGACAGAAGCCTAATAATTATACTTAGTGACCCGTAATAATTGAAGTACACACATGGCGTACGTTCTAATTACGGTGGCCCAGATTGAGAGAAAACCCGATGCTAAATCAATATTAAGCGCGTGTATTTTAAACACTATACTTAAAGTTGCAGTCTACACTATCAGATATTTTATGCATTTTGGTCGAAGTATTTATATTTTGCAGGGAGTTAGAAGAACTGTGTGAAGTAAGTTCAAAAACCGAACGAGCGGTGAGGTTAAACGCGCTAATGAACGACCACTGGTTTGTGGAGGACTACATGGAGACCATGTCAGACACATTTGGACCCGAATTGATATTCACAATAATGGACATTTACGTGCAGTTGTTGCTGTTCATGTACGTAATGATATGGGATACGGTTGTCCGTCGCGTGTTCAAGGACAGCGCGTATCCGTATATCAGTGGCATCATCGAGTCGAGCATTATCATTGGAAAATTTGTTTACCTGTGCTATAGGTGTGACTCTTCCGTCAAAGAGGTAATTTTAGAGAAATTTCAATTTTTCAAACGAGTATGATCGTATTGTTTGTTCATTTATTAATGATCAATGTAAGCCCTATTTGAATTTCTGTGGTATCAACACTGAGGAGTGAACCCAAAATAATATTACTTCCACCTCAGTTGCATTTGCAACGTTTATTATATTAAAATAAATTATGATTTAAATACATTGACAATAAAGACATATAAGATACATGATGTCATAAATACTTAGATGATAGCTATTCGAAGTAAAAAGTACTTAATACTAAAACTAAATGTAGAATATTTAAAAATTTAAGAACAATCGAAACATAAAAAAGAAAAACATTTTGTACTTTATTATTTCTTAACATCAGTTTAACATTAAACTTAAAGTTTTCATGGTTAGAATTAAAAAAGTCCATTGATGTGGATGTTTTATTAGCTAAGAGTAAAGCACGTTGCAAAAAAGATTCTGCACCATAATTCTTATGACAGTGGAGAATAAAGATGTTAATCGATCAATAGTTCTGAAAAAATAAGGGGAACTCTGATTCCTATTAAAGCCAGTAAATGTTGACAATCTATGTGACCATATATTTTAATAGACCACAAATAAATAAAATATCAGAACGTTGTCTTCTTAGTATTAGTGAATTCTAACCAATTGATAACTTCTAGGTAAATTCTGGATAATATAATAGTTTATTTATGACGGCTACAATTCCCTTTAAAAATGTTTATTGTAATGGCTCGATTAATTTTAAATACGTAGATCAGGTTTGAGACCAAATTATGGATTTAAAATCCATGGTTAAACAACGCTCATCATATTTTGTTGTGTTGTGATGCTTTTACACTGTCAAAGAATACTGTTGTAGGTACATCACAAAATTAAACATTATAATATTGTGTAACTTGCCTGATTCTCTACTAAAATAAAAGAATATATAAGGTACCGGCTATTATAATAATATATTATAAATAGAAAGCATCGTGCTGGTTTGAATAGCTGTAGAACTCCGAATACGCTTTCCCCGGGGTCAACTGGATGGATTTGGGAATTGTTTTGCCCTTTTTTCCTCGGGTTGGATATTATTCTATACAGGATTACCGAAAGTTGTTTTTGTTATCCTGCTTAATATTTAATTCTGCATAAAACAAGATACTGTACAGGTCGATGGTTTGTTATTTCAATGTACCTATCCCTCTTCGAAAGAATACTGCAACGTAACGATACACGGAAAAAAAGATACCTTTATTCGTATAGATTATGGGAATTTGTTTTCAGTTTTAAATAATATTTTAGTCATGCAAATATATTGCAATATGTATTACGATTAAATTAGGGTTTAGAAAAATAATACTAGAATAAATGTATACCAAAATCGGTCTCCGATCAGAACTTACAGGACATTGAACACGGAAAGCCTGTATAATACATGAATTTCACGAATTGTATATGAATTGTACGATACAGTGAAACGTCCTTTTACAGATACTAACGCTGGGTAGAAAACACCTCCAAATTGCTGAAATTTATTTTGATTTACAATATAATCTTAATCCCCTGAATAGTTTTGACACCTCCGAATAGCTGATAACATTTCAGCGACCGAGCAAGATTGTTCTTTAGAGAACGTTTTTCTGTATAAGATATGAGTGTATAAGTATTTTGAATACCTACTACACAAACATTAATAAATAATAAATAATAGATAATAATACATTATGACGTGTGTACTGTTGAAATTGATTTCAGGGCAAAAAGATAATTTTTCACCTGAAACACTTGTCCTCGAACGTGTCGAATGATTTGAATTCACAAACCATTGTTAGTATATACAACCAAATTATTATTATTATTATTATTATTATTATTATTATTATTATTATTATTGTGTACGATAATAAAATAACCGAAATAATATAACTAATGGTTGTATCAGCACTCGGTAGTTGTGGTAAATATTTTATGAATTCATACCCGACGACATGTGATTGTTATTTTTTAGCATGTAAAATGTACATAGGTTATGTTATTATGATGCAATAATATAATGACCAATAAGTTACAATAATAATGCAGTCGAAGACTTACGGACTACGATGTTCATCGTGTTTGCACAACATTATGCGGTTTGGGCTGTATAATTTTATTATAATACATAGTGTCAACAATGATGACTGTCCTTTAAAAAAAGGTTCTAATTATTTGAATGTAGTTCGTTTATTTTCGCTTCATTCACGGCTTACAACACAATATTATTGTAAGGTTTTTTAAGTAACGTAAAGTACGTATTACTTTTATTCGAACGTATATTTTTTTACGAAATCCCTGTGAGCTTACAAATCTTCTTCTCTCCAGATAGATAATTAACTCTTGGTTTCATAATATAATTTTACGATACTCAATTTTTAATCTATATTCTTCATATTTTTTTTTAATTTAAATATATTTTTGGGCTGGATACACGTTTTTTGTTTTTCCGACTGATTTGTCGTAAGGTTTTGTTTTCATGGTTACTTATCAACAAAACATATTTATGATTCATATAGGTTTTCATTGTATGTAGAATAAAAATATCTAATAGGTACATAGCGAGTTTTTTAAAAATATTATGTCATATTTTGTTATTGTTAATCGTTCACAATTTTTTATTATATGATGTGGCAGTTTAATTTTTTTCACAGTACGCGTTTTATGAAAATACATTAATTCTTTAAATTACTATTATTTTTTTTTTTCTGTTAAATACTAAAATGGTTTCTTTAGTTATTTTTATCCTTCATTTATTATCTTTATTTAATTTTTATTCAAAAGTAAAATATTTAGCCTAAGTAAATTTGATTTTATCTTTTATAGTTTATGAAACCCTTCATTATAAATCTTTATTTCCAACTTTAACTTTATTTATTATTTAAACCGGTCGTTTTTAGTTTCATAATTATACCTCCATTTTTATTATCAATTAAAATGTTATCCTTGAAAAACTTTGGCTTTCCTTTTCCATGATTAAATAAATAGCCTTTATTTTCATATTATAATATATTTACTGATTTTGTTTTCTTTAATATTCTCAAAATATTTATTAACTCATGTCTTTCACACTCTCGAAATACACATTTAGCTATTCATAAGACTTGACATGGTGATGTACTTATAATTCTATTAATCCAAGAATCTAATTTAAAATTAATGTCTACAATTCTTATATAACTACATTAAAATTAACCTAATTGAGCTTATAGTAAAAAATTAACTCTGTTAAGCGATTTGGTAGACGTAACTCGTCATTTAGTAGATCACTGTAATGAATGTGTTAAATTTGAATTCAATGATGAATCGTTTTACACAATGCAAAATGTTTCAATGGGGATACGGTTGTCAGTCTATGTACCTGCAAAATGATTCGTGATGTTAACGGAAATCAAGTTATGTATATGTGTGTATCAATGTAATGAACGAATTATTTCGTAAACATTTTAAATTAAAACATTCATAAAAATAAATTTTGTTTTAAGAAAATTTTTTTTAAAATTCTTGTTTCAAATATTTTATATGCAAAATGACTTTGAATTACATTTTTAAACAACGTACCTATACAAATTAAAAATTGATAAATTTTCAATGATAAAATAATTTGATGAATTTTTTCAAAATTTGAAATTCAATTAATTTAATAATATAAAAAAAATTATGACAATGTATTTTTGATAATTTTATTTGAGAACTCGGGAAGAACGTAAGTATGACATTATCATGATCTCTATCTTACAAAAAAATTGTATTATACCTACTAAGTTGAATAAAAACTAAAAATGTCCAATGTATACATACATATATATACATATATATATATAGCTTATAAAAATCCATAATTGTATCATGTCTATAAAATGTAAGTATACAAATATGGTGAAAACGTCTAGTTCATCTATGGATATTTGTTTTTGAATTACAACAATAAAACAAAAACGATTTTGGTCTAACTGGTTTTTGTAAATATTATTGATTATTTTGTAAAGTACTGTGTGATTTTTATTTTTGAACTCTCAATGTACATTTCTATTGCAATTTTGTACCGGAAACCTCTCTTAAAGTTGAAGAGGGATCATTTTTTCGATTATGTCATTGTAAGACCAATACTTTCTTGGCTCCACTCAAAATTTAATCTCAACAGCAATGTCGTCATATAATTCAACTGCTTTATTTTATTACATTTAATAGTATATTCTAGGTGAACTGAATGGTATCTGTGCAGTTTACTAAGCTTAGGCTTTTTAATAACAACTATAGTGGTCGGTTTGGATGAAACGGTGGTTAGAACGAATCGCATCTTTGGAGTTGATTAAAGGAATTGAAAGGATTTGGAAAAAGCTTCTAACATTTCCTTAATTTGTCGAAGTTATTAATGGGGGTATTCTCTTAAATATATAAATTTATAAATTTATATTTTAATTTTATGTAGCTTGACAGTAGCGGATTACGGTATTAGTACACTTGTAGAATCTGATTTAAATAAGCTCAACTGCTATTTACTGATATAAATAACAATTATATTTTACTTGCTTGCCTTAATATTAATAAAATATATTGAAAGCTCTTTAAGGAAGCTATTTCGATTCCATAGAAGTAAAACTTTTGAAGGTCATGGACGCGCACAAAAACTTCATAGAGCACGCGAGTCATTCCAGAGACTTTTATGACATGATCGGTGGCAACAATTATAAAATTAACAATCGAAAACAGGACGAAAGTTGATGCTACTGGCTGGTATATTATGTATATACGAGGGTCTTGCGACTAATGTTAGTCGTCCTGTTAATAATGGCCATCATTAAAAAATACACGTTTAAGTTTTCATCTTAAAATTATATTTCCTAAATATTATGTTAATTATGACGTATTGTTTAATTTTAATCGGGTTTTATGTTTATATTTATGGTTTGCCTCGAAATTTGTACTATAATTTATTGTCTTCGTTATGCCACAATTTACCAAATATACGTCTTATAGTATTATCGGTTGTCACCCGTCAATGATGGTTATGATCTTGGTGTTTATGATCGTGAGTTTTTCACGTTGTTTGAATACTAATCGTAATAATCAACAATAATTATAATTTTAAAGTATACTACTATTATTATAATTATAATTATTTTTTTAAATATTTGATTAAAAGCTTCAATTACAATGGTTATTAGCTTAATGTTATTTACAAACTAAAAGTATTTATACAATATTAGGAAAGAGAAAAAAATAAATGGTATATACGAGAGTATTATAATTTATCATCTAAACCGATTAGTTTAAAGAAATTAAATATATTGGCGATGATGGATTGATTGAGGGCTTCTTCGAGTGATGTAGCATTTTTGAGGAGGTGACGTGCAGATGCGAATTTTGGGCAGTTGATGATTATGTGTTCGATTGTAAAAAAGGGTGTTGCATGAGTCGTACACTGGTGGTCTAGGTTCCTTAGTTATTACTACTATTATTGTATATTATCCACTATTCGAAGTTGTCTATCTTGGATAGAACATTGTTGTAATTAAAACAATTTAATATTATATCAAGTTATTTACAATACCACTGTTACTTTAAAACGATTGTTTTTTTCATTTTAAAGACATTACCTACAACCGAAAATAAAATATTAACAAAACGTGTTTACAATTTTACCGATAACGCATCAGTTAACATGTCATGTACAGGCACTTTATGACGGCAAACAAAATACCATGTCGATATCTAATAAATATTTGTTGATTTGAAATTGTTTACGTCTTCAGATAGTATTATACTATTGGAAATATTATGTTTTAAAAATAAATTATATTAGCTTGATGGGTTTCATAAGATATTCAACTGTATTTCATAGTTGGTTTTGGATGATATTTTCTTTACGCACGATTAATGATTATACATTTATACCAATATTGTAATAATACAATTTAACTGCATTAATTGGCCAAGGTCAATATTAAAACTATTACCTACACTATATGGCAGGATTTGCCAATATTTTACAACAAGTTAGCTACTTTAAATATTTTAAATAGGTATCTGGTGGTAGGCTACTCGATAATGTAGATAAGTATATAATTTATATTATTTCATGCTTTCATGCATCATAACAATAAACGGTGTTCTCATCTAATAATATATTATTTTTTTATTATTTCTCCATCGGAAAATTGTATGTTTTTCATCGCTCATAAATAATTATTTTTGTATATAATGTGTGAAACTATATATGATTACGCACATGATCAACCGCTATTGGGTTAATTAATCTTTAATACGATGATCTACCAATATTCATCTAAAGATCGACTAGTCCACCTCTGCTATATAGTATAACAGTCTGCTACAGTATTTTACTAGTGATAGTCTTCAATTTTATTGAACTCGCGACCCGTTTAATTAATTATTTATTTTTTGCTACTGTTTAAAAAAAATCTGATTAATAAATTGATATACCGTTAGTTTTTATATGAGTGAAAATGGTCATATTTTTAATTAATTTACCATTATTATAATTATGTTAATTTCATAATATTATGCTTAGTACAAATGAACGGGATATATTTTTAGAACATTGTATGCATAGTAATATTATTGTGTGTATATATTTTTTAATTATTAAAATTTGAAAGTATAACGCATGGAATTTGGCTGAAGGTCACTTATTCATTCGATGCTCCCTTCGCACAACATAATATACATTAAATTGGCGTTGATATTTGAACCGTTATTGTTTGTTTATTACAGTTAAGGTTATTTACGCTTCGCGTTAACAGTCGTGCAGTACAAGTTACGGCTTCCGGATTTTTCGACATAAATCTATCACTTTTGTTTGCGGTAAGACGTTTGTATTTTAAATAAATTGTAATTAGTTGACAATTAATGCTATTGGTTTCCCTGGGAATTGTACTCAAAGCGATTTGATTAAATCTGTGATGTCACATTGAGTAATATAGGTAATACTGCTGTGACCTATACAATAATCACCCATAATATTCTTATATTATTATAAATTACGTCGTTTATATATTTTATAATACGGTCATATGGAATGATGGTTTTTTTTTTTTTTTTGGAAAATGAAACGAAATGGGTATTTTTATTTCTATCAACCTTTAAAATCACAATAACTATTCATCATCGTTTATTGTTTTTGCAGACTGCTGGCGTTGTGTTGATATACTTTTTGGTGTTGGTACAATTTCAAATGGAGGGCTACAAACAGATTTTAGGATCAAATTCTAGTGATGCGGTTGTAGCAGTGGTGTGTCATTCATGGCCTTGTCTTGAGAGGGATGACTGAGATGAATAATTGTTGTATTAATTTAAAATCACAACCATATCCATATCATACTAATTAACATCTTAGAAATATTGTTAGTTCGTTTTCAGTTTAAATTAAAGATATTTACAGCGCTTGCATTGGAAAAAATTAGAATGAGTTGCAAAAGTGTAAAAAAAAAATGTGTTTATCTGAATATTTTAATGTCTTATTGATTGAGATAAAATGTATTAAAAGGGGTATGTAAAAATAAAATTTAAAAAAGTAGGTTGACTCCGTCCTGGCATCCCTCTACTTATCCCCACATTCAAGCACTAGGTATATACTTAGTATATTGTATAATATTTACATATGTAACGTATGAAAAAATTAGGTACTATCTAAAATTGCTTTTTATCTCTGAAAATTGATTGTTAAGTACAATTTAAAACTAAAATGTAGTTGAATGAAAAACGTATCAAATGTATTAATATTCTGTTTCTATAATATGATTATTAAATAATATATAATAATTTTCAAATATACCCAATGTATATTCTGGTTCCGAAGCATTATAGGCTATAGCATTATATAATTTCATTGATTGTTGTTTTTGTTTTCTACAAACAAATCAAATAGTATTGGTTGTCATGTAAAAAAATAGAAGAAGAATATTATTTTGTTTCATACATAGTATGATTATTTTTGCAATTAGATTTCTTTTGTTATTTGTTTAATTATAGGTACAATATTATTTGTAAATTAAAAACTCACAGTGTTCCAATACATGGTGTAGTAATGTCTGTCATCTAGACAAAATCTACATTAATTATTGTATTCAGTTAATCTGTAGAAATCGCGGTCGTAGTGCACCATACCGGTTGACAAATCGGTCACGATTACACTATTCACCGTGTATATTGATACAACGCAAATCCCGCATCCGCTAAAATGTTCTCTTCTAGACTTTTAAGGGAAATTAATTACCGGACGACTATCGCGACTGCAGGCTTATTGGGACGGGAAAAACGTCGTAAATCCGGACGACGTGTCGCATTCCGCGCGTTAGTATAAAAATCACACTGAGTATATCCGATATAGGGTGAATTCGACTGTTTGACTGTCGAATTCCCGGCCCCATGCATATAGCATATATTATATAAATTGCGTTCGATTGAATTATTATTAGAATTTCGTGCTCGGTATGTATTCGAAATGAAAAGGTGGATGGGAAACCGAAAATTCGATAATAATAAATTGAAAATTTCGTGATAAAGATTTTACCTTGTACGTATTATACATAGTATTATTATTTATTATGTACACTGGGTGATTCACCAAGCGTGCTTGACCCAATTTTTCTTTCTACAATGAATGCGTATTGAAATTGTGATTTTCAGAATATTTTAAAGTACCTATACGTCTTATTAAAATGTGTAATTTTAAATTTTTAAATTTTTTTTATATAATTTAGAGACGCGTGTCTTGTGGCGATACAAACGTTTTATTTTTAAAAAAGAATCACCCTTTTAGAGGACGATTAATCAGATGACTTTTGAAAATGTTGATTAATCTAAATCGAAATTCGAATGAGTAGTTTTTGAGTTATTTAACTTTGAGACTTGAGTACTATAAAGATAATAAGTCGATGATAATGCGTTTGGATGGTATAGGAACTATGACGATTTGAAAACTTGAGTAATTAATATTAGTCCGTCAACATTTTATAATTTGTAAAAGCGTCTGAGCTCTGAGGATAATAAATAATAGATTCAATATTATATCTGTCTTTATTTCTGTGTAACTATATTTAAAACGATTATATTATCCTTAGTATATACGCCATGTTAATAACTCAGAAACTAATCTTTCGAATTTAGACTTGGATACATCGACATTTTCAAAAACATTATCTGTCAAATCGGTTGCAATAAAAACGGTTTGCTCCTGTTAAAAAAAAGTTTACATAACTACCAGATATTTCTTAAATGGTGTAACAAATCTAAGTATTTGAAAATTCCAAGAATTTGAATTCGAAAAAATTCATTTTAAAGAAAAATAAATATGGGATTGAGCTTGCTATTGGCAAATCACGCTCTGTAACTATGGTTACATAATATAGCTAGATATATCTGAAACGGATATAGGTACACTCACGATACACGTATAATCATATTAACATAATACACTGGAGACTGTGTGCGTAGGTATAATATAATGTAGATACGCGATTAATTTTGTTTTTAAAATAAAAATATGTCGTATAAACAATTCTGAGGGGAAATGAAACTGTGTAGGTATATATTTTCGTCGACTACCTCTACCTATCACGTACATCCCGAAGCGCAGTTTTTCGGCCCGTCGCAAATAATAATAATATATAATTTGTGCGTAAAACACGTTTCGGGACGAGTTTCGATCATTTCGTTATTGTTAGAAGTCGTAAAACACGTACCGGTGCGAACGCGATCGCTATTGCTGACCGAACGAACATTTATTATATTATATTATATACGCGAAAATATTGTAGAGGACTCGGCGGGTGACGTTTTACACTTTTACGAGCGTACAATATTTCGGGGTTCGTTTGTATGTATGTGTGTGTGTGTGTGTGTGTGTGTGTGTGTGTGTGTGTGTGTGTGTAGGCACACGAATTTGCAGTTTCGACACTTTACCCGATCCATATATTGTTATTATTATTATATCTGAACACGTCTCGTTTTCACGAAATCGTTGGCGTTCATATTTTCAACAATTAAATCCGTAAAAACCGTCGATATAAAAATCCACCGTGTCACCGTGTCGATTATACAGAGTGATTCACCAAACAATTTTTTTTCTTTAATAATGCAGTTTGGATTTTTGAAATTTTGAAATTTACGGACTTAAAGATCATATTTTCAAAGTCTTGAAAATGTTTGTAATACTTAATAGGAATGTCCTGTGTCTATATATACTTTTTCTTTTAAAAAAAGAATCCCCTTCCCTGTTAAAATGTGTATTGTTCAGTGGATAATTTTTCTGAAGAGTTTTATGTATCGGAATTAAAATTCGTATTAGTAGTTTTTGAGTTTAAAGGATAAAAAGTCCATGGTAATAGAAATACAAGATATGCGGGTTATGGTAATTCTAAAACTGTAGTTATTAGTATTGATCTATCGACAATAATAATTTGTAAAAATGTACAAGTATAATAAATACTAGTTGTACTATTAAGTCTATTTTATATATTTTTTAAAAACCATTTTAAAGAACATAATTAGGTATCCTAGGTAAAAACATTTTAATAACCAAGAAACTACTCGTTTGAACTTAAAATAAGGTGTACGAACATTTTCAATTTTGAAAAAAAAAAGTTAGTATTACCACTTCTTATGTAGTACAAACAACTAACAAGACAAAAATTTGAAAAAAGTTGTCTTTGAATATATTTAAAAACTCAAAAAAAAAAAACCAGAATTTAAATTAATGTATTATTAAAGAAAAAAATAGAGTTGAACATATGCTTATGGTGAATCAACTTGTATAATTATTTATATTCTTAAAACGTTTGCACCATGCACCCTGCTACACTGGTAACCAATAATTGATGTTCACCACAGATATTGCAGTTGGTATATATATGTTGTATACGATATTTTAACTTAAAAGTATAAAGATTTGTAGCTTTGAAATTGAAAAAAAACAAACCATGAGAGTTATTTAGAGGCGTATAACACGACGAAGTTGGCATTAAGTAGATGCCATAAAAAATATGATTTATTTTTTAAAAACTCAAAACGGTGCATTTATTAAATGCACTTGATTGTTTTTTTTTTAAATTTTAAACACGTATTGAACCAAAAAATATTTTTCATTAAATTTAATAATGTTAAATATTTAAAATGACAAATAACATTAAATTACCTTTGCAGGTACAATTTTCAAGTCTCCTACGTACAAAAATGCTTTTAATCTGAACGAATAATTATTCTTGTTTATTTTCTTTGGCCATTCATGATCTCGATTATACATCATATACGCCGTAGGATCTGTTCGAAAAAATACGATTCATTATATTCGATTAGTTTAAAACCTTGCTAAATACTGTTTTAAGTTAAGATCTTAAAATAAAAAAATTAAAAAACCGGATTTTAATGCTAAATGCCCATACATTTTTCTAAAAAAGATAAAATTACCTTAAAATTGAGAATTGGGAAAAAATTCAAAATAATGACTTCTTATTCTGGTTTAAAAATACAGGAAACGTCGTATGTGACGGATTGACGTTATACAATGAGCATCGCGTAGCTATGAAAATAATGCGATATGCATGGAAAAGTATTGCTTAATTATTATGTTAACATTATATTCAGGGTTGACTATTAGAATCATAAGTACCTACAAGATACTTTGGAATTCATTTTTACTCCAGTTTTGATAGCCGTAAAAATTACTTACAGGAAATGCGACTCTTAAATGTATAGTACGAGTTATAATAATTATGCATAATAACGTGTGACGTGTGTGCTGTGTATTATAACATTAACGCTTTAACACATTGTTAATGAGTGGTATTAAGTACCCAGTCGATTAGGTACTCCGTGGTTCTCCAATGATTATGTCGTTTACTATTATTTACAACAATTATTATACCAGTCGTCGTGGTCGAACGTAATATAACCGATTAACGACGTTTTTATGAGCTCTCTGGGTCTACCGCTCAGTATGTTGTTAACATAATAATTATATTACAATATTGTACATTTGAACGGGGGCCTATACAATTGTAATAGATACGTAATAGTAATTGGCGATTTTTGAAAGTGAATCGATTTAAATATATAAATAAAAATAATCGATTAAATAAAAATCGTATCTGTTGGACACAGTCAACTTTGTTATGATAATACTATTAGTATTATCAATATTTATTTACTCACAATAAAATATAAACGCTAACACAGGGTGTCTGGTTTATATAATATATAGTGTCAAATTTGAAAACACAATAAGATACATGCATTTTTTTAAAAATTATTTTTTTTTTCTAATATTATAACTTAGTAACATCTCCACGGTTTAAATGTGGAAAATAACACCTAAGGAGACGTTGAAGCCGCTTTCGACGGCTTGCTCACAAACACCCGACTACATAACATCATTAACGGCTCAATCGACCTCTTCCTTTGATTCCATTGGAATCGTTCAGAGTTTGATTATCTACGCACACTTTGACTTCAGAAATCCCCACAAAAAGAAATTGCACGGTGGAAGATTTCCTCAAGATCTGACAGCCTATCCCTGCAGATTTCCAAATCGAAATAATCAAAATCAAATACAATTTGATGAAAAATAACTCTTACACTCGAAATATCGGAATAATAACGTCTAATGAAAATAATAACAACCAGTATGACCAAGGGGCTGCTCTCTGTT